TTGCTGGTTGTCTACTAAGTGTCTTTCGTTTCAACTTTTAGGGAGCGTGGATTTGTCTTATCAATAATTAAATATTAACTAAATTAAAAACTTTCTCCTCAGCTTTGTGTAGAAATTCTGCCAGTCGAAATTGCCTTGTAGCCAGTAAGTTTAATTATAACTACTAGCTCTTTGACTCTGACGGTCCCGTTTTTTCAAGACTACTATTGAAATACTCATCACTGTCTTCAGCTTATTAAATATTTGAGTCTAAAATTATTCACCTTATATACGTCAGGGTATTTCTTGAAGTAAGTCATCACAAGACCGCCCAATTCGAGATCAATGTCAATAATAACATAACTTCTATTGGCACCGCATGTTATATAAAAACACTAGCGACTATGCTATTTAGAGAGCATTGTTAGATGAACGCTAAAACAGTTATATTCCCTCGTATTTTAATACAAATATTTATTATCGCCTTCAAAACATCTTAGCCTCCAATTTTTCATTTACTTTTCCCCGGCTAGAATGGCCTTTAGTGCCTACAGCGAGTTTTGTTTTTTCTATTTCGGCTCATTGTTGAAGCAGCATTAATTGCTGGACAGTTCCGATTCATAAACCCACAATACGTTGTCGTTGCATCTCATTTGCGACCCCTACTCGATTTCGTTTTTGCAAGAGATTCAGGACTTTTGGTAAGAGTCTAACATTTGCACGTTTCATACCAAAAACATATGTTGAGTCGATTCATAAGAGACGTTGAGATCTCCTGCTATCTCTCTGATGCCAAAACGGCATTTTCAGGCGCAGTTTCGCACTGAATGCTTTGTGCTACTAAATAATTTCATTTGAAATAAAGTAGACTCTACAAAATTATTGTGCAACATTATTGTAAACACAGAATTTTAACAAACTCGTTTTCTAAACTTTGAAATTCGTGTTAAAATCGGCTAAGCAAAGTATATTACTATTATAACAATACATATACATATGTATACGAGGTTTGTTCCAAAAGTTTTTTTTGTTTGTATTTCTTAAGAAAGTGTTTATTTATGCATGAATATCTATTTTGTCCACTTCAATGTTTTCACCCCTAGATATAATGCACTTACGCTATTAAGTAACTAGATATCGGTGAAGATGCAATACACGTATCCCGCGAATACCCGCAGGCCGCGATACTTTTTAACAAACCTGGTTTTTTGCCAAAAAAAAACAACCAATTAATGGTGCATCAGCCACCGTATTCCCCAGACCTGGCCCCCTGTGATTTTTTTGTTCCCAAAACTAAAGACGCCCATGAAAGGAGGACGCTACGATTGAGGAGATAAAAACTGCATCGAAGGAGGAGCTGAACATGATCACAAAAAATTACTTTTTTAAGTGCTTTGAGGATTGGACACGCAGGTATAAGTGTGTTATATCTAGGTGTGATTACTTTGAATCGGACATTCGCAATACTTTTTGAACAAAACTGGTATGTTTTAATTTACACGCAGTAAACTTACTTTTAATCTCCCATACCACACCAAAATAATTTCATTGAAAATTTCCATTATCGAATTTGCCACAAATTTCGAATATTTGGGGGAAAAAAATTTTTATTTGATTATTTAATCACAACAATTAATTCTGCTAAACGATTCTCTGTTATTGGAAATATAATCCTGTACATATGTTGTCCCGTATAATTTAAACTTCACGTATTAATTTTAAATGAAAAACAGCAACTACTTTTATACAACTAGTATGTACTTAGTACATAGGAATATAATATATAACTTTGTGAAATACTATGAATTTATATGCAAAACACTGAACAACAAAGTCTAAATAAGAAAATATTTTGGAATTACCCTTGGCGTTCAGCCAAAATTAGCAGACGCTTCTAATGTCCATCTAAAACATTCAGATGTATATTGAAACAAAATTTTAGATGGTTCCATAAAACAATTAAAGTAGATTTTAAGAAATTGTGATGACACTGCCAAACACATTTGGTGTAGAGTTGGTACAGAGTTTTTATATTTACAATAGTCGCAAATGTCATCCATTCATAGATTTCTTCAGTTTTGCAAACAGGGATAGTCACATGTAGAGTCAATCTAATTTGATAACTATCTTGATCGTTCCCCAAGTACCTTTTTGGTCTTGTATTTCTATTGGAACAATAGTGATTTGCTTTCAATGACATTATCCATAAATAGGTGAAAGCTATTCTAGTTGTGTGTGCGAATAATTATTAACAACAATCAACATATACTGGGCGTAGCCAAGTAGTCAGTCCTCCCGATCGAAAATTTACAGTTGGGAAGCAAATTTCAATTTTGACTTGGTCCGATACTATGCCGAGCTTCTGCTCCTTTTTGTGGTGTATGTCTTGATGTCCAATAAAATGTATATTTTACAAGCGCTTAGCCGACTCAGAATGGCGAATGGATTTTTTAAGAAGCTTGTTCATGCCAGAAGCACATTTGGAGTGTTACTTTAAAGGAACAAGTATCATTTTAAGCTTAGTCGGAATCTGAGGTCGAACGCAAATTCTGCATATCGGTAGAGCGTACCTCTACGTACAATTAAAAGCAAAAGTGAAATCAAATTTACCAGCTTAATTCCTACAGGGATTTATCATCAATTTCTGCTGAACGAATGCATGTACTCATACGTTGCATACTTGGATATCATCACCAAATATTGTTGCATGCTCCAAAGGGCAACAAAATGAGTATTGAAGTACTCACAAGCTGTTGTGCTGACAGCCGCTAGTCAACACCGGAACTATGTTAAACTCCCTATCTGTGTAAAATTTATGCACAAAAATGGTTAAGGGCCCACAGCATCAACATGTACTTCTCGTACTAAAATTCGCGTAATAAAGTATGCGAAACAAAAACAAAATAAATCCCCAATACATGTACGCATACAAAAGAACATATAAGGTGATGGAAAGAAACCGTGTTGCCAAATAGTTTTGTTTTGAACATTACATTGAAAATTATGTATATTTTTATGCAGATAATTAAAAAAAATTTTTTATATAAATTAAAATTGACATTATATTTTTTTAAGCTTTCTCATTTCTCATGTAATTCTAACACGTATATGACGCATTCCAAATTGAGCAGGACTTATTACCATCAGTGTTAGGAAAACATATTTCAAAGGTTGAAGAATTTGTTTCGTACAGGTGTCGAACCTGCAATGCACCGAGTATCTTTGTGGCAGTTTACGAATATCTAGTAAATAAAGGTCAACAAATAATTCAATATCATTATTACCGTTTCTGCAATTTATGACGACCTTATAAGTAGTGAGTTTAGTTCGTCTAGAAAGTTTTTCTTCTCAATTTCCTATCTAGCTCAAATATTAGTTTTAAGTTTGCTTTAATGGCTGAGAATCTTTTTGAAGCTTATGCCCGCTAAGATATAGTTGAAATTGTATAAGACTTTGAAGTAAGGAATGTCAACAATGAGCTGAAGATCAAGGTGCCAGTACATTAAACGTTTTTTTAATTAAAATCAGATGTATTTATACCCTGAACAGGGTATATAAAGTTTGTCACAAAGTTTATTCCTGCCCAGCATGAAACGTCGTAGACCCTATAAAATATACATATGCATACAAATGATCAGCGTGACGAGCTGAGTCGATTTAACGATCCTTTAGTCTGTATATACGCGAACTAGTTCCTTAGCTTTTTAGATATCGACTTGAAATTTTTCACACTTTCTTTTTTCTCCCAAGAAGCTGTTCATTTGTCGGAAATGTCGATTTCAAACCACTATATCATGTAGCTTCTGTGCAAACTGATCGATCGATTAAAATCCAGTCCTTGCATGCGAACCGTTTTTATTTGTGAAAGGTATTATAGCTTCGCTTCAACCGAAGTTCACAACTTTTCTTGTTTCTTACTCCCAATCATAATCAAACTAATTTGTCTAAATTTTGATGTTACCACGGCTCGCTTACGATGTCTCACTTAAAGATTGCTTCCGTTATCCAGAAAAGTTAACAAAAAAAAAAGAAAGATAATGTTTAATTAAAGTCATATATATACATTCTTATAGATTTAGGTAAGTAACATTCATGTCGCCTATCCAACAAAGCCTTAGGTCCTTGGAAAGCACCATGCACACATACATTCATATCGACGACAAAATAAATATGTTTACTTGCCTCCTGCCGACTTTATCAATTATTGTATGCAAATGTACGAAAGCTCGCACACATAGACGAAACACAGCTTTTTGATTTTTGAAGTGACTGGCGAATTTACTTTGTGCATGACAATTTGTATGTGAAAAGCAAAGTAATTAAAATTAATGGAAAATGTTTTATTTTACCATTTACCATATAAAATACGTTCTTTATACAGTGACCTTGTTAACAGAGACTTTTGCTGAATTTTATGACTGAAATTACCTACAATTTTAAGAAGTTAAAAGTTTGGGTTTAATTATTCGATGCTAATTGACGACCGGCGCAGAATAATTCTTTAAATGAAACACCTTTTAATCACTTAAACTTAAACAACGGCGAAATACCCGAAGAAAGAATGATGAACTCGAACTAAACGAAGAGAGAGAGCCGATGAACCTACAGGCGGATCAGCTTATGGAATATTATCGCATGAGAGCAAGTCTGTGTAGGAGCCGTCTACATATGCTCTTTCTGGCCAATACTCCTCACTAAAAAAATATATCACAATATTATATCTCAGGCCGTAGAAAATGGAATCCAAGCCAACAAACAATTTATCGATATTAAAACTTTTTCTGATAACATGGAGCCACTTACATTAATTGTATCTGAATTTTGGTTTTACTCAAAAGATCCAAACGTTCAACGTTGGGAAGGATTCGATACAGTTTCTATTTCTAAAAGAGGAAAGAAGGAGATAAATTTGGATATAGAAAGTGTATGTACGTAAGAACCCAACCTCATGAGTTGTTTGGGTTAAAAGTCAACATATGAAATGTTGAATTTACTACATCAGAGAGAGATAGTCGCAAAGCTTTCAATTAAAATTTGATTTTGTTTTATTTGTTCGATTAAATTTAAAATTTTAGCTTACGTATATACCTCATATTACTTACTAAATACATAGTTATGTCTTTAACATACAAAATAAATTAAATAAATAATTACTTTTCACCTAGCCTAAATTTGTTTTAAATTATAGCGACCGTGATGATAAGTTCGCTTCAATAAATCGTATTTACACTATTTCCATACATGCCTGCAAGTCCGGTTTGCAGGCTCAGTTGAAAAAATCCAGTATACCATTCAAAATTTCGATGGCGAAATCATTTTCTCCCGTCGATGCGGCCTTCTTCTTCTTTTGTTTTCGTTCCTTTTTCGACTTCTTCTTCGATTTCACAGTGGTAACATCTACAACCGCAGGTGCGGGCGTCACATCGGCATCTTCAGCAACAGATTCGACATGACCTTCCGCTGCTACGGCACCATTGTCCTCTTTACCTTGCGCATCATCTTTACGCTCAGCGATTCGGGTGGCGGGTGCAATAGCTACAGCTGGTGTTGCAGCCGCGGCAGGCTTCTCTTCATCATCATCGTCCAGTTCATCAAGTAAACCGGCTAAGCTAAAACCGCCATAATCTGCATCGGCTGGCGCCTCAGTGTCATCATCATCGTTCTCTTCGGCATCATCTACAATTAAACTCGTATAATGTAGCTATAACAAATGTGGAATGTCATTTTAGTATTACCATCTTCATCGGTTTCGTCATCTTCTTCGTCAGCCTCTTCAGCTTCATCATCGTAGTCATCATCGTCATCATCATCGCCACCAGCTGTATGTGAAATAATATTATAAAACCAGATTTCTAATCAGCCTTTATAAAATAACCCACCTCCAAAGCCAAAAATGTCATCATCATCTTCTTCCTTGTTCACCTCGACGGGCAAGGGTTCAGCTTCAGCAACTCTCAAGCCTTCGGGACCAAATTTAAAGCAAGACACACGCAAAGCTGCCTCTACTTCATCTTCCGCGCGCAATTCGAATCCTAAGCAAGCCTTGAAGTCATTTTTGGCTCTGGATAGACCATAAACACGTCCACAGAATTTAGAGTAGCCACCAGGTAAGCCTACGCAAATGGGTTTAGCGCGCTTACCTATGAGAAGAAATTCATAAAATAAATACTGACACACTAAAGTTTCTCTTTCTATCTTGAATCACCTGAAATTGTACGAGTCGCCAATGTAATATCGCCATATTTGATCGACACCGACATACGCTCATTGCCTAGATAGGTGATTTTGGCACAACCCGGTCCACGCACTGGTATCAATGGCAAATTGAATTGCCTGCAACAATCACAATGATCGTCGGTACATTTACAGTATTTGCTGATTGGACTGGGATCATCCTGGTTCTGTACAGTGGTTGCTTCGGTTACTGCTGCACTGGAAGCGGAACTACTGGATGCGGCGGCTGGTGCGGCCGCTGCTGCTACTGCCGGTGTAGCCACTGCAGGTGCAATGGTTACCACATCGACTATCTCATTTGTCGCTTCATTTTCAACTTCATTCGCAGCAGCTGCAGCTGCTACTGTTGCTTCATCAGCCTGGTCGACAACTTCATCGGCGAATTGGGTTGATTCATCGGTGCCTGGCCCTGAAAAGTCATCCGAATTAAGTGACTCGATGTGTTGTGGTTCGAGTGGCGCTACATTTGGATCGATTTCTTCAGGTGGCAAATTCAGACGTTGAAAGGGAGAGGAAATTTTGTCTGCACGTCGAAACACTGTTTTGGCATCTACGCAAATGAAGTACATTAAGGAAGCGACAACAATGCCGATCACAATATCTTGGTAACGCATACTGAATTGAAGATTGAGAACTGTAAGGTGAAAGAGAATTAGCTTAATAATAAGTGTAGATATTTCAATTATATTGTAATTCTGGAAAAAAATTTTCAGATAAATTACTCAAGTATGCGGATTTTCGCTGCCTTATATCTAATATGCCACTGGTATCTTGCAAAATGCCAAAACAATATTCGAAACCGAACATTTAGCCAAAAACCAGCTTGAAAGCTTCAACTTAGAGTGAAAAAATATCATATAGTGTAGCAGTTTTAGTGTCGTGGCAATGCTATAATATGATGATATAGCTTTAACGTTAAACGCGTTTTTCTCGAAACTATTTTTTCGATGCATATATCATGATATTTCAAGTTCTAATCAGTCGATTAACTTGATATTTTCTAGGAATATTCTTTAAATATCTTGTCGTATGAAAATGCAATTTTATAATTTGTAATATTTTAAAATAATTCGGGAGAGGTAAAAAAATAGTGAATGGAAGTTTACGGGGTAAAAGTTAAGAGGCATTTTTTTTAATAAATATGTAAAAATACTGTCTATTTACAAAATTTAAGGTACTTAATAATCGGGGTTTCAGTTTGAAAAATTTAAGATTCTGTTGATTCCGTAGCCGATCTCCAGGAGAACATATATCTGCCGGTTTTCAAATCTAAAAACCAAAAAGATTTTTATTTTTACAAATGCGATCATATCTCCGAGACTATTTGCTGGATTAACTTTTTTTCATTTCATTAGATATATATGCAAATAAAATAGATTTTTTGAAATTCAGATGTGCAAACAACCTATTCAACAGAAGCCGAGTGTCATTTTGATGGTTAAAGTGCTCATATATGAAACTCTATGTAAAATAGTAAAAAAATTTTGAATTATTAACTTTTTTATTATTTGCAACAATTTAAAAACTTCAGCGAAAGTCACAGCTTGACCCAACGCCTTCAATTTAAACACTAAATTTACATAACAGACACTTAAGTACTAAAAAACGGTAAACTGTTTCACATTGTGTTGTTATTAATTAGTTAAATTTTTTTGCCCACTCAATTACACAAATAAACGATTATAATAACAAAAACACTATACAAATTTGCCAAATAGAAAAAGCAAAAGTCATTTGTGGTGCCAAAGTGACGCTACACGTACGAAGAGATGGCATAAAAACAACAACAAAACAACTGAAATGAAACTACAAACAAACGCGGTAAACTAATCAAAGTTATAAAAGCATTCAAATTTCACCTTAACAACAACAGCGAAAAATTACGTTTTACATATTTATAAAAGTAAGTATGTAAATATTCAAGTTTTTATATAACAGTTTATATAGCAAGTGAAATGAAACAGAGCATAAAATAAAAATAAAAGTATTTATTATAATGCAAGAACGGTAGAAAATAAAGAATATATAAAATTAACGTTAAAACCGTGAAACGAAAAAAATATTATATAGTAATCGTTAACAAATTATTGATTGCCTAAACTTATGTGCTTACATTTGTATATATATATACACACAACAACCCGCATAAAAAATTGATAAAAGAATAAACGTGGTAAAATTAACACTACTACAATTGCTTGTAGATATTATATAGTAATTTTTTTTGCATATAAATTTTCAATATACAAGTACATATGTACATTAATGAATGCTAAAAAATGCAAAAAATTACAAAAATATTGTAGTAAAAGTGCGAATTAATAGAAATGAAAACACGCGCTTTTGTGCCACAGTTCATTTGTCTATTTTTAAGGTGAAAAAACTCGACTTATGTTTAATCATTAGTCACAACACTGGCTGGCGAAAATACAAAAAATAAAATACCAGAAAGAAACGAGAGTGAAATTAAACAAATATTTGCGTGAAATACAAATAAACCCTACATATTCGTGTACACACAAACGTATTTTATATATAATATTTGTGTATGAAAGTATACACGCCTGAATATTAAGCTGATGCTGTGCGGCTGCGCGCGCATGCGCAAACGAATTAACTTTTTCAACAAGTCGTTAGCATACGAAACGAAAACGAAGATGCAAGCAAAAAACTAATTAAATAAGCACGCATTTTTAAAAAGTAATGTAAATCAACAAAGGCTCATTTGAAGAAGATGAAGAAGAAGAAGCACTAGTGACCATTTCTGCCTGACAGACTAAGTAGGAGCAACGAGAAGGCCACGCAGCTTAAGCCACATACTATAAATATACATACATGTATATATATCTAAGGTAACCAAAAGCTTCCGAGACATACTTACTTACACACATTCTTACATGTTATTTTTTTGCTGCACACATCCACACATACATGCATAAGCCGGCTTAAATTGTGTTATTTGCTGGTGTGGGACGGAAGTGTCCAAAGAAGCGGTGAAATTTTTTAACTACAGTTAACTGGGTATATACGCACATACATTCATGCATGTATAAAGTTATATGCCATAGGCATATATGTATACTACAAATACATGTGTTATTATCATTCTCTTGTTGCCACTTCAACGCTGCAATGTTATTTGTGCTTCTTGTTGTTAATGTTCATTATTGTTATTATTAATAACGGATAGAAAGTATGCCTTGATGACCAAATCAAATCGGGGCAGTAACAAAAACAAGTGACAGCTCACCATACACATAATGGTCATAACACTTGCAGCAAAGCTAACAACAACAACTATGTCTTCGAAACAAGTGCAGCAGTCCACAATTCCATAACCAGAAGCACCAATGCTGGCATTCTTGTAGCACTGACCAAAGAACTAGATAAAGCAAAGAAGTGGATGTGTTTGTGTGTGTAAGTCATCGCTTTTTTATGGCAGAACCAGTTCAAAACTATTATGGTCACTCACCGAAAGTGGCTGCTGTAACAGTAGAATAATAATTATAATGACAGCAACAGCAATAACAACATTATTAACATGATGAGTGTTTGTAGTAAGCCCCAATAAAAATTACAAGTGCGTCAATTTAGTTTATTAGCTTGTTTAATAACATTATACACGTATAGCCCCCCGTAAAACTATTTTTATGACAATTACATAGAATTCGCTACCGAAAGTAAAAAATATACCTTTTTATGAAATGTATTTAGGCATTGTTAAATAAAGTTAATATAAAAACAAGAACAAAACTTAACTTCGACTTCACAATTACATTCCTTTTTGCAAATGTATGTGTAACTAAATCTGAAAACATAACCAGCCAACCTTTTGCTAGTTCTTTTTAAGCACGTTGTTTCATAAATACAACCTTCAAGTCGAGTTAAGATTGCCTAACATGGTAAATTGATCTTTTATCTTGATCTTTCAGTTTGTTGTTTTAGACAATATTCTGTGCTAAATTTTGTGAAGATAATTTCTCAAATAAAAAAGTTTTCCATACAAATACTTGATTTCTATCGATCAGTTCGTAAGACCGCAATATGCTATAGTGACCTTCACGCTTATCATTTATATATATGTATGTATATTATAGGACATCCAACATTTTCTACTGCAATTTTTGTCTTTATGTGTTTTAAGTATTTAGGGAAACCAAAGAATTTATAAATTATTTAACAAAAAAATATATACATTTGCGCTTATACAACTTTTTCCCCGAATCATTTCAGCAATGCGTCATCACCCGGAGGCATATATGTATGTAAATATTTAGCTCGCAGTTACACTAGAATCCATCCGCATATCTTGCTATCACTTCTTTGTTCCTTATTTAGTTGCTTGCATGCACATACATACTTAATTTTATCGATACCACAAACGGGCGATTGACCTAATTAAATGCATACTTGTGCACAAACTTATTTGTACAATCGAATACACTTGCTTAGCATGCTAGTTGCGGCCAACAGACCCACACTAAACTTTCCAGGTTTATACAACGACGACACACATATAATATACATACATACTGCTTTTTGTTTCCTGATTGTTATCGATTTCTAATGATTCTGATAATACATGCATGTACATAAATGATGACTATAACAGGCAGAATAGCAATTTTCTCATACCGATTCAGTTATGTTTTGGATAAGTAAGCTAAATGAGGTGCTGCGTCTGTTTGCCACTTACATTGTGCACACTACAAAAGAAGATCATCGTTAAAATAAATAAGTTCTGATAGGTATATGAACAAATTTTGCATGTGTTACCTTTTTCCTTTCTATAAACATTACTGCAGAAGTGACGTTGGACAAAAATTACTCAGAATAAAAGCCAAAAAACGTTTTGAGACATTTTTAATGGAGGTTTGTCTAGATGTTATACTTTCTGATCTTTCATTAGGAGGTATTCTAGCGTAAAAATTAAAACAAATCGATTTTTTCATATTTTCAAAGTTTAACTTTTCAAGAATATTTTCTTAAAACAATCTTAATTATTTCCAGATACATAGCAGTTTTAGTGGCACGACACCCCAAACTGCTGGACCAGTTGACGCTGAGCGTCATTTTACCTTTAAACGCATTTTCCTCGAAACTGATTTTTCAAAAAGTTGGTCATGAGGCCTCAAGTCCTCCTTAACCATTTTCCTTAATATTTGGTCTGTCTTTTCTATATATTTCTCTTGCTATGATTCAGAATAAATTAAAAATGTTTACTAATTTTAAAAAATTCTATGAAATTCAAAATATATTAAAAAATTCGTACATAGATAAGTGATCATTTGGATGATTGTAATCGTGACAGACTAAGTGCATTCATTTTTTCCAAACCCGCACTTCAACAGCTTATAACATTTTAAGTGTTCAATTTTTTTACTTCTTGTTCTTTATATAATGTTAAAACATAAGTATGTATATATCTTGTCAAAATATTAATAAAAATAATTCAGATTCTTTAATCTGGACTAGAATAACACTTTAAAAATTTTGCGCATTGTATGGATATTTTCAAGGACAACATTTTTTCACGAAATTCGATCTCACGACTACGAGAAAGTTTGATTGAATAATGATTCAGCATCTTTAAAAATAATCACAATTATTTTTAACGGTTTAATTGCATTATTTCTTTGAGCAGTTGATTATTTAACGGTATTGGGAAAGCATTAACATATCTAGCTAATATATGAAAACTTTTCTCGAAAATTTAAACAGTAGCTGAGAAATAAAAATCTCAAGAGTAACCACAATCAACCCAAAAATTACTAGAAATCAACCAAAAATTTTGGTCTATGTTGGAAGATTGGATTAGTTTGTGAATCTCCTCTATCGCCAAATTTGTCTGTAACAAAGATTATTATTTTTGTTTCAATTCTAAAAATAAATTACTGTAGTGGGAGCTTTGTTCAGAATAGCGAAGTACGGTCTACGGAGATACCTATTGTAAGAAATAAATCATAGTAGCTATTTAACATTAACAGTGTAAATGGAACGAAATTATATAATAACACTACTCGTTTATTGCTTCATTTTATGGGTAGTGGTGGTAGACTTGAGTGTAAATTTAAATATAATAATTATGTATATATTTATATATACAATTTTCTTTATCTCCTGTTGGAGCATAGGGCAATATTTATTATATTGTATAATAATATATATAGTAATATTTATAATGTTGTAATTTATTTATTACTTGAATCAAATAGATGTGAAAACATTTTAAATTTTATATGGTGTTATTTTTTTCATAATTTTTATTTATAAGTTTATTACAAAATTATAAATTATGCTTTTGCTTTTTTTCTAATAAAAAGTACATATATTATTGTTTGCTTTGCCTATTCCATTTTGCGCTCATTTCACACATTTTGCGCCCACATCACTACACTTACATATTTTGGGCGCAAACTTTTTGCTTTGGTTACTTTTTCATTTGGACACACAAAAAATTAGGTCGCATTTCTTTGATACACGGACACTGAGAATTTTTTCAATGAAAGTAGAAGTTTGTTTGCATTTTTTCTTTACACAACCGGCAAATATGGCTGGTACGTACACACACATACAAACATACAGTGATTTTTTTTTGTTACTGATTTATTTCCTCACACATTTTTCGCCTCCATTGTCACATATTGATTCATTAATTTGCGCTTGTTAGCAAATAGAGGAAATAAATAAAAGAAAGTCGACTATTTCTATAAACCAAAGGCACACCTCATATCAAAAGGTTATGTTGGACGTAAGTAGTGTATAGTTAATATATCAAATAATACAAATAAATTAATGAAATAATTGACGGGATTCTATTTATATGTCGCCTGCATGCCTAAAACCAATAAATCTTGTTTGATATAATTATATAGACTATTGATAGTTCAAAATTATCATTCATTTATAGAAATTGTATAAATCGGTTAATAAAATAGAAAGTGTTTCACATCATTAGATGAATTACTAAAAATCCGCGTATATAGAGATTTGTATATATATGGTATATATAGTAGCTGAAAATTTATATATATATTTATCCAACGCATAAGGGTTTTGTTTACTTCTCCCCTTTTCCTAAGCATTGTTGTACCTATTGTAATGCAATTTTACTTTCACAAAATTTAAACGGAATTTTTTAGTCAAGCAGAATATAAGAAATAAATAAATATTGCCTCGAGCCAATGGCAACAGTTTAAACGAAAACTATTCGGTCTTTACAAATACACTCCAATATTATACGATGACTACTGTATAATTGATTTGTAAGACCAATTATTAAACTCAATGAAGATTCTAAATGCCTTACCGCTGGTGGGGGACAGAAAAAGACTTTATTGAGCTGAGAACTCATTCATTCTTTAAACGTTGTAATATTAGTTTCTTCTTTTACTTCTGCCAGCCTGCATTGCTTGTGGTCGTGTTGCGTTGGATTTATTGACTCGTCATCAGCTACTATTGGGTCGTGCTCTTCCATTGTGACATCAACTTCAACATCTATTACTCTAGGAAATTTTATATATGAAAGATCTTCATAAATTACTTGAGCTGCATCCTCAAATATATTTTCCTTCTCAAAGGTAATGTTTTCTAAGCGTAGTTTCTCAAAGGTAATATCTTCCACGCGTAACTCGCCTTCCTTGATTTCGGGCTCTTCTTCTTGTAATATTTTTTTACAATTTTCAAGCGCCTTGTAATATTCCGCAATAATTTCAAGGTACAATTCGTCAACTTCAAGAGAGAACATTCTCTCTACGTACTTTGTGTAAAAATTGTCCATTTGAAAATATACAATTTTCAAAAGCTTGATGTGGTTACTGTTTATTATTTTATTGCTTAGATCATCCATAACTTTTCTGAGGTATTGAATTTACTCTCGAAAATGGAGATCAGCACGGTATCCGATTCTAATCGGGAATCTTGACTTTGTTTCATCATGACAACACTGCGTTTAGTTCCTTTCTAAATTATTATTAAATTTTCCTGTATTTTTAACAGGGCTTTTTAAGCCTGTGTAAATTACAGGGCTTTTGTTTTTGCCTGTTTTGTAAATACAGGTCTTTGTTTTTGTTGCCTGTATGTATTAGGACTTATAATTTTTGGTTTGTAAGACCAAATGTATAATTGCCTGTATGCTTTATCACACAGGACTTTTTAATTTGCCTTGAGCTCTATCCGGCTCGAAGGACCAAATGTATAATTGCCTGTTTTGTATTAGGACTTATAATTTTTGGTTTGTAAGACCAAATGTATAATTGCCTGTATGCTTTATCATACAGGACTTTTTAATTTGCCTTGAGCTCTATCCGGCTCGAAGGACTAAATGTATAATTGCCTGTATGCTTTATCATACAGGACTTTTATTTGCCTTGGCTCTATTCGGCTCGAAGTTTTTTTTTTTTTTTTTTTTTTATTATTCTTTCATATTTCTTATCTTATCTTATATTGTAAAATAATAAACTTAAATTTATTGCTGCACGCCGTATAAGTGGGCCCTTTTGGTCCCAACGCACATGTTCAATTTTGAACATTCTCCCGGGCGGCAAAAGTGACTCTTGGAAAAGTGACCGCGGCTTGTAATCGCTGCCTGGTTTTTAGTCGATAATAAATGATGATTGCTACTAGTACGCCGATTATAAAAAGCACCAATGATACGTGTCATGTTCGTCAACTAAGTGACGTCGTAGCTGGTGGCTGCATATTCGTCTTTCTGCCATTTAAATCTTGACATTTCAAATAACATTTCACGATTACTATGCGCCTTCCTGTGTTGTATTAGTGATAATATACTTGTAACTATTTCTTCATATTTGTCGCAAAGGTATTCTGTCGGTCTTCTCTCTCTGTCATCAGACGGCAGTGTACCCTTGATTTTACCCTTCTTTATTTGTGATTTACCATACTCCTCCTCACTGCTTGGCGGACGTCTCATACGTTTCTTCTCTTTGGGCTTTGGGTTCCGTGTTGCTGCGGCCGTTGATTTGCGTCTACTTCGTCTACCATCAGCACCACGTTGAGAACGTCTCTTTTGATTGTAGTGCCAAACTTAAAATCATCTAAGTCATTTTATTTGTTATGCCGCCATCGTCGGAGACTTTAATTTCCATATCTTCATATGGCTCTTCATCACAGGAGGATCAGGATCCAATTTGTGTCTATGACAACATAACCAGCCTCCTAATTCCTCCAAAGTGGGGACTCTCCGGAATATAAATTCCACTTGATGTCTTCTCTTTCTATAGTTGGTGTAATCACTCGTTCTTTCTTTGCTTTTCCATCAATTTCAACATCCATTTCTTTTGGAAATTTTATATATGTAAGGTCTTCATAAATGTGTTCGATCACTTGAGCTGCATCCTCATCTTTAAACGTTGTAATATTAGTTTCTTCTTTTACTTCTGCCAGCCTGCATTGCTTGTGGTCGTGTTGCGTTGGATTTATTGACTCGTCATCAGCTCCTATTGGGTCGTGCTCTTCCATTGTGACATCAACTTCAACATCTATTACTCTAGGAAATTTTCTATATGAAAGATCTTCATAAATTACTTGAGCTGCATCCTCAAATGTATTTTCCTTCTCAGAGGTAATGTTTTCTACGCGTAGCTCGCCTTCTTTGATTTCGGGCTCTTCTTCTTGTAATATTTTTTTACAATTTTCAAGCGCCTTGTAATATTCCGCAATAATTTCAAGGTACAATTCGTCAACTTCAAGTGAGAAAATTCTCTCTACGTACTTTGTGTAAAAATTGTCCATTTGAAAATATACAATTTTCAAAAGCTTGATGTGATTACTGTTTATTATTTTATTGTTTAGATCATCCATAACCTTTCTGAGGTATTGAATTTTACTCTCGAAAATGGAGATCAGCACGGTATCCGATTCTAATCGGGCATCGAGACTTTGTTTCATCATGAAAACACTGCGTTTAGTTCTTTTCTAAAACGGCTTATGTGATCAATTAAAAACTGCGGAATATACACCCGTCTAATTATTTTTATTATTATTAAATTTGCCTGTATTTTTAACAGGGCTTTTTAAGCCTGTGTAAATTACAGGGCTTTTGTTTTTGCCTGTTTTGTAAATACAGGTCTTGTTTTGTTGCCTGTATGTATTAGATATAATTTTTTGGTTTGTAAGATCAAATGTATAATTGCCTGTATGCTTTATCATACAGGACTTTTTAATTTGCCTT